GGGTGTGCACTCCACCGCCGGCGCTGCCTCTGCAGTGAGTATCCCTGGTCCCCCAGTTATCGCGGACGGGGGTCCCCGCTCTGTGCTTGCTTGAATTCCCCTTTTGAAGGGGCTGAGCTCCCGCCGCTCCCGTGGATCCTGGTGAGGTTTTGTTCATCCCCAACCTCAGCACCCCCCGGTTCAGCTCCCTGTAAGGCAGCCGGCCCCATCCGCTGGATTCTCCTGTAGGTGCCCGGCCTCGCACGGCGTAAGCCCCTTGTGTAACAAGGCGGGGCAGGGCGGTCACGTTAGAGATGCCGAAGAACCCCGGCTTGCACGCGGCGGAGCCGCTCGGGGAGTGTGAGCACGTGTGAACTGCAGCCTGCCAGGGTCCCCTCCAGGGACAGGAGTCGCTGGATTCCTCCGTTTGCACCTTTCCCACCCCCCGGGAATTCCGTTAGCTATTGAAAACCTGCCCGTTACCGCGGGGCTCGGGCTCTGTCGCGTTTGGATCGAGGAGCTTTCAGCTTTGCGCGGTTTTGACTTTGTTAAGACTCGCTGCCCTTCTAGTGGAATGTACCTGGAAGTTACACGTTACCGAAAAGGACGAGTAACTGACCTGGAGGCTTGCGGAGCCCCTTCCTTGTGCGGCTGTAGCAAATCCAGCCGTGGGCATTTATTGAATTTCTCTCCGTGCTTCGGAAGATTGAGAAACAGATTATTTTTTTAAGTGTGGTTGAAACTCTATTATTGAAAACACATTCTTTCTGCTTTGTAAAAATGATTTTATGTGCCATTAAGTTAAATTTAATTGTTTCAATATAAGAATTAAAGTGAATTTTAATCGAGCCACTAGAAATGCCACGTGACTGGCAAGCTCTTTCGCTTCAAGCAACAGCTTGGTCTGCGTGAAGAACAACTTCTCAAGAGAGTAAAATACAAGCAAAGGGGCAAGGGAGCAGGATCACTCCGCACGGGGCCTGTTTCAAATGCTGAAGGTTCTCCTGGGGATTTCTGCTGTAAACCAAAATAATTTAATTTGCTGCTGAAGTGCAGCAGCAGCCCCTCTTTTGGAAAGCTTCCTGCTCCGGCCCTTCCTCGGCGGGTCTGCAGCGTTCGCACGCTTCCCCGGCCGCGGGGGGGAAGTGCTCGGCTGCGGGAGTGCTGGTTACCGGGGTGTCGGGTCTGAACCTCCAGCACTGGGGGACAAAAGGGACGTTATTCCGGGGCTGCTGTGACGTTCCGGCAGTTCTGCTTTCAAACCCCAGCAGTCTGCACAGTGATTGTGTCGTGAGCGGGAGGTGCGTTTTTACGGTGAAGGGGAACAACCAGCGGCGGGGTTGATTTTAACTCCTGTTCTTTCTTTCGCCTTGGCCCCCAGGACAGGAGGGCCGCAGCGCGCTTCGCAGCTCCATCCAGGACGTTCTGGATCATCCTGTCCGTCGCCTTGTTTTTTGCAGCCATTGGCATCAGCGTTGTGGGGGTTCTCAGCTTCTCCCCCAGCTCCGCCCAGGTAAGGGATCCCGATCCAGGCAGGGAACCTCCTCCTGCCCGCAGCCCTGAGCTGTGTCGGAAGCGCTTGCCGGGAGGGAGGAACGGGCTGAGCTCAGGGCTGGCTTTGGCCGGTTCCCGACACTGGAAGACGCGGGCAGGAGGGAGGGAAGGCGCAGG